GCGCGAGCTGCGAATTGGATGTCTAGTGTACTATCAGTTTTCTTCTTTCTTTCGTGGCAGAGTACAGGGGGATTCTACGGTGGCCTTTGGAGGGGGAGTTAAAGGTAGCAGTGACTGGACGATAAGATACTTCAGAAGCGAGCAGTTTCTACCAGATGGGAGGGAAATCCTCGTCACGGCTCTAGCGCAGGATGCTATGACTATGTGACGATGGTGAATTACAATGATGCTTTGTGCAGTGCTTTTTGACGAACAAATGCAGCGAAAGCATTGAACACGATTTCCTGCTATATCTCCCACCGGCGAGGCTACCTTTTCGGATTTGCTGTACGACGCGGGTACAGGCGTGATGGTGACTCATTTCGCATACATACAGGCTTACAACCCATCTTTGACCTATGGACCTTGTCATCTGTCCTGTATCAAATCATTTATGTCTCACTGTCAATAGCGAAGACTTTTTCCTTTGGACTTGACTATCCTTTGTAAGCGCCGTGCAAGTGAGCAAGGGTTTGTCCATACCAGCTCGCCTCAGGCTTTTTCTCCAGCATACAACCGCGGCACGGGAAAGGCGCGGGCACAGTTTCTCTTTTCAAAGTCCTTTCCCTTGGCCTCTTACTGCCGGGAAACAGCCTAAGGAAGCGAGCGATCAGGAAAGATGAGGCGCGCGCTCGGTCAAGCCTTTAAAGCTGCGGCAGGCGCCCGTGATTCGTAGGTGCGCGGTCCATATCCCGAAACAGGAATCTTTTTCCGTCGTAGCTCCTCAGCAAAAGCCTTGCGCAGCAGCTCCCTGGCCCTCGGTCCGCCCTCACGGCCACGAGTCCTCACTTGGCAGGGAGCTTGACTCTGAACATGCAATGTAAACCATTGAGAAGTGGGGAGAGAGGTAGTGGCCCCGATGAAAATTGCCGCCCGTATCGGCACCAGTGACCCATGGGTCACTAGGTCGGTATTTCGATCGGCCCCAACATACACTCGCACACACAAATACACACACATCCAGACCCGGTTCTACGTATCCATTTGTCCACAGAGTTTCCGCTCGTAATCCGGCGGATGGAAGCGACTTCGAATCCACCGCCGCCACCGGACGGGAGGCCGTGTGCCCGCGAGATCTCCGGACGCGCCGCCCGATCCCGCCACGCGACGCAGCGGGCGGCGGGAGACGATGCCGGATGAGCGGGCGGCGGAGGAGCTGGTGTGGATGACCATCCGTCATGGCTCCGGAAAATCGGCGGAGGCCATTTTGGCAGGGTGGGTGTGCAGTATAAGGGGTTGCGGGTGAGGGAGGGGATTGGGGGACGTGTAAGCCCGCGACGGCTGTCCATTTCCTCCCCTCTCCTCTCCATCACCCCTCCCCATCACCCCTCCCCAGGTGCTACCCTTTCCCACTCACCCACACACCCACTCACCCAGTCGAGCCTTCCCGAGCTTGCAGCTGTTCGCACATGCATGTATGTATGTATGTACCACTTCCACGTGCAAGGAACGTGAGTGCGACAGGGGGGCCCCCTGTGGGCGCCGGGAGGCGGGAAGAGGGGGCATGTGGTTGCGAGGTTGGTGCAGAAAACCGCTTACACATCTTCACGTGACACTCGATACTCGGCATGTCCCGGAAACTGCTCTCCACCCGCCACATAGCTCCACAAGGACTGAACCCCGCCGGCAGCACCTTTGCACCCACCATCCCTCCCCCCTCTCACCCATCTCCAACCACTGCTACCTCGTTACAAAACCCTTTTCTTCCAGGTGCACACAAACTCAACCAACGTCTCGCTCCACGTCGGCAATAGAACAGCACAACGCCCACCGCAACCGGACATAAAGACACCGCCCGCCACTACCAGCGAGGCGGCCGCGGAGCAGGTGGGGACGGGAGAGGGCAGGGGAAGCGGCAGCGTGGGAACGGACGGACCCGTGGGTCATACAGCGCTCTTCTTCCCTGGGATGCTTATTTGTTAGCTGGTAGTAGTTGGATGAGTTGCGGTGGGACCACATACGTTACAGCTCCCTTGCCAGACGTTCAGGTTCCCACTTCATGGCATCCTTCATATGCTCGAAGCTTGGAAACCCATATCAGATCTGATTTTGTCGTACATCGGACATTCCAGCAAAACGTGCTTCTCATCTTCAATATGGCTATCAATGCCGCAGCAGGGCCATACTTGCTCCTCCCTAGGTGTATAACGCCGTCCCAAGGCCTTGCACACTCTGTTAGCCGCCAATGCCCAACAGCAAAGCCTAAACTGCATAAGCTTTGCGATTCACTGAACACAGGATAAACGTTGTGATATGCGGGAGGACCTCCTTCCCGCCCGCTTGTTCGGCCGCTGGACCCATCCAATGCTTCGCCATGTGAATTCCTGATGGGTGCACTTCTGGCTGGACATCTGGACACTCTAATAATACCACACCTTTTGGCAATGACCTGTTCATTAGCCATTCCACTCGTTCGTCTACCTCGTGTAGCCCATGCAGGGGCTCTTTCGAAAGAGAGGCCATGCAAGGAATGGAATTCCATGCATCTCCTGCATCGTGTCCCAGAAAGCTTAGAAAACGGATGAGTAATGCCCCCTTACCAATGTGCCTGAAGCCTTGCCTTGCCTGACCACTTGGTGGAGACTATACATGGTTCGGTTCCCAACCATGGGTCACGGCGTTGGAGTGTTCCATGGAGGGAACTAAGCTAGCTGGATATGACGGACATATGCGAGGATATTCCGTCCTAGGCCTTTCCTTCACAGCGCATGGAGGCGCAACTCCGGGAGTACTGCTAGTTGCACACTACACGAAGTACTAGTAGTAATATTAGTAGTACTACTGCATGAACTAGTACTACTGCACGAACAGTGTTAGGGTAACCACAATGAAACGGAAGTTTGTACTCCAATTGATAATTTGATGTGCGGGCCTATTATGGCTTAATGGATAAAGCACCGGTCTATGGAACCGGAGATTCCAGGTTCGATCACTGGTAGGCTCGTATGCAGCTCCTGTCTTTTACCCAATTCAGTTTGGACTTCTGCCTGACGAGGCATAAAGCTAACGACGATAGTCGCCCCCAACCACATCCACAATAATGCGAACCCTTCATTTGAAACTGTTGGACGAGTGACACGCCACCACCCGGCCCACCCGGCGCCCACCAGATACTGAAAGGATACGATACTGACCATCCCCTGAAGGGGAGACATGTATCTAGGGGAAGCCCCCTATTCCTAACAACCCATTCCTAACAAGGACACCAGGACCTCATGCATGCATGCAGATCCCACTGGACATAGCACCTCCTCAGTTAATACGATCAGACGTGAAAATTAAGCTAGCTCTTAAACTGTTTTACGTAAAGACGTACAGTCTAAACCACACATATACACAGACACACACTCTCCCTCGCTCTCCCTATTGTTGAGGCGCCACCCCTAACGGCCCCCTAACCACCCCTAACGGCCCCCAACCACCTAAGGAGCTTTCTGCTTTACAGACGAATGACGAATACCGCTCCCCTACTCCCTACTTCTTTTGCCAACAAACATACATGCATACAAACAAACAAACAAACAAACAAACAAACAAACAAACAAACAAACATACATACATACATACATACATACAAACAAACATACATACATACGAGAGGGAGGTTGAGGGGATAGATTGCGAGGGGGGCGGGATCAGGGATGGGGCTTGGGGGGGTGCCGCGCAAGGGGACATGGGGGAGGGAGGGTTTATTTGCCTGGGGGAGCCGTACCGGCGGAGGGGGGGGAGACCGGGGAAAGGGCGGGGAGAGCCGGGGGGGGAGGGGAAGAGGTAGAGAGTACACCAAGAGGATGTAGGGTTGAGGAGTGGTGAGTGGAAACAGGTGGCCGTAGCGAGGGCGCGGATGAGGGGGAGGTGGGCACCCAGAAGGGGGGGCCGTACTCGAAGGTGCGCGCGTGGTGCAGGACTAGGTTCTTCAGGGTACGAGACCGGGTTTTTCGTGGTGCGGCGTCTAGGTGAGATAGGATCTTGGGAACCAGCCGTCTTGGTAGAGCGGTATTGGGGGGGCGCCGAGCTGGCTACCCTCCCCCCCTGTGGTTTCCGGAGGCTTGATCGCCCTGCGTTGCCGCAGGGTCTTCCCGTTTGAGTACTTTTCAATTTAGACCCAGTGCTGTGGAAGGGCGCGGACTTGTGCGGTGTTACCCCCTCGACGGGGGCTATCTCCCCTGGACTAGCCCAGGGAGGGAGAGGCGGAGGAG